AAACAAAGAGGGCTACCAGCCCTTAATGTGTTTTCATAAATCCAAACACACAGGAGTGCTTTGGGTATCCGTGGTTTACATCTACCACTGGCTAACTTTCTCACAATGGGGTTCAGGTGAATTCTGACCATACATAACTTTCCCCCACCCCCCTACCTCTCATCAGTATTACAAGAAAACAGGTTTTTTTTGTTTTTTTTTTTTTAGGGTAAATTTAAAAGAAATTAAATTAGGTTTCCCTCTTTTCCCCTTGCATGACCTTATGGTCTGGTTTGGAAAGATGCTTGGGTCTTCCAAGAGTGTTTTCCTGTTGCTGCAACAAGATGATAGATAATGAGTGTGGTAAGAGCAGCTAAGTTACAGGAAAAAAAATCACCTTTTGCCAGAAAGGCCAGCATAGTTTGAACTGTCAGTTCATGGTTGTAAATAAATCTTTTCATTTTAGCCATTGCAGCATTAACATAAATTGTTTCCAAATGCTCTAGACAGGCATGGCTCATGTCACTGGAGTTGCCAGACACAAATCTTCCTTCCTCAGGGGAAGAGAAATAAACAGATAGGAAATTCTCCATGTGTACTCTCCTTCTGGAAAAACAGTCAGGTGGGAGAAGTGTCTGTACATCTTGAAGGAAGAGTTTTTGTTTCCTGTGCAGGTGGACAACACAACACACCAGCCCAGGGGCACAGGTAGAGAGAGCCCTGGCACTACCAACCTAATTAAGTCAATAGCAAGTACCCCTTTGGCATCTACAGGGGCTTAATTCTGTGTCTCCAGATGCTGTTACAACAGGAGATCAGAACTTCACTGAATAAACTAAACAACTCCTACATGTTTTAGATAGTTTCCCTTGACTTCTTTCTTGTGCGTGTGCATCTACACCTCTCAGTGCTCAACACCCCCTAAGAAGAGTTGAAGAGATGGACACAACAGCATTAACTAGGCTTACAGACATAGCTGAAGAAGCAGGCAAAGTCTACTTTTTCAGTAGTCAATAGTGTCATGGGATGGGGGAACACTGGATAATTTCTTAATGACACGATAAGCCCTAATACTTATGCAGTAATATGACAAATTTAGGAATTTCTTCCAGTAAAATGAGACTGAGCCAATGGGGAAAGAGGAGAAAAGAAGCATAGATTTTGAGTCAGTCTACTAACTTTTTGGTAATTTTTCTGCCAATTCTTACTTCCTGTGAGACACAGTGTGGGTAGTACTAACATTTGGCATAAGCTGTAGCTTCTCTGTTGAGCATGCGACAGAAAGCTCTTTTCCTTTTGGAGATGTACTTGTTATGTCTGATGCTGTAGGAGGGAGACTGAATGGCAGAAAAAAACCAGTTTCTCTGTCATGATTATGTTAAGAGCAATCTGAAAAAGCATAAGTACAGAATGACTAAAGTGATAAAATCTAAAGCACCTTTACCACAAAGAGCTATAATAATGATGAGCCTCTGCCCTGCAACTCTTCACAGTCAACAAGTATCAAACACAAGAGAAATAAATAGATCAATGGCAAGGAGGTTGAATTGCAATTTGTGTCCATCCACAGCTGTGCAAGTCTCCTGTTTTGTCTTTTTTCCCTTAAAGTCCAAAACAGTGCATAAAGCCTACGCTAAGCCAAACATGAGGGGATTTTATGTAACAGGAATTAATGGACTGGCAATGTAGAGGACCATGTGTTCCAAGTGACAGGCAAAAATATTGCTCAGGTATTGAAATATAACAGTGAAATGATTTGTTTGAAATTCCTTCTAGTATTTAGTAGATAGGACCCATTATTACCTCACATTTAAATCTCTCTGGAGCAGAAAAAGCCCTGTACAATATGCTCAAAATACCACATAGTAGATCATGAGATTCAGTCCAAGGTCTGGATTTAAACAGCCTGGACATTTTGTGATGTTTCACACTTACTTCCAGTTTACCAAATGAAACCACATGAATCTGAATTCCTAACTTTAAGAGATATCCAAAATTGCTCCTATATCCAATAACAGATTCACATAACTAAAGCCAAAATGCAGATTTTTTTCTTAAGGTTTCCCAGATCTCTAAAACTGTTCCTCAAATCTCATCTAGAGCTGCCCCTGCAGTGTCTTCATAGAGCAGAGTTCATCCCTAAATCTGTTTGGGATATAGAAGTGAGGACTGCCTCTCTGCTCAGGGTGAGGGGAACAATCCCCTGGGGCAATCTTAGAGCACATTTAACAAAACAAGATCCCTTTCAGGATAGGAGGGCAGTGCCCAGGTATTTTTTGAAATAGTGGCAGCAACAATTAAATAATTGCTGAATTATTTTGAATTGTTATATTATTGCATTATTATATAAATTAATAAATACATATATTACATAATGCTTGCCTCTGCTGCTGTGAAATGCACCCAGAAGACAATACAGCACTCAAGAGGGAAAGTCCTGTGACCAAGAGACAGGAATGTCCACCTCTAAGGGAGTAGTCCTTCTTCCAGTCCCAATGCATTTCTGTATTTTACATTTAGCAGCTTTGGATGAAATGGTATAAACCTGTAGAGGAATCACACTCTATAGTTTTTGCTTTTACACATCATGACTGCAGAGAAATTTTTCACTCTTCAATATCACACATCTACATTTAAATCAAAGCTAGATGTAGTTCTGAAGAAGGGTGACAAATGCAAGTTCATAAGTGGTTTCTGTTCATATTTTAACTTAGCAATAATGTATATTAAATGGACAACAAAATCCAATAATTTAGAAAAAAAAATGCCTAATATAGTTGGTAAAAAGTACAGATTTCTGTCCTAAATACAGACTACTTGAACAAAAGCTACCACTCCACTCAGACTTAGTCACGTGTCTACACATATAACTCAGTGTACATTGGTCTGACTCCATGCATTTTGCTGAGATTACTCCAGAAGGAAACTAAGTCCTGACTAGTCCTTTGCCAGGAAAGTCCAAATCTATTACGCAGTTTAGGGGTGCAAACAGGCTCAAAACAGAGAGGATAATCCATGATAATTTTTTAAATGTTCTGGTAAAGACTGCAGGTGTACTTCAAGAGAAGACTAACTTGCTGGAAGAAATTTTTAAGGAAATCTCCCTTTGTAGTGTCCCTGTTCTCCTGCCTTATGCTCCCTTTGCTGTTGGAAATGGTCTGGAGAGGAGCTCTGGGTAGTCATTGCACTGCTCTCTCCAGCACAGCCTCTTACTTTCTGTCTTCTTATCAGTCCTATGATCCTCTCTACTCCTTAAGGACAAAGAGCACCCTACATTCTCCTCTGGGATAAGAAAGATAATTAGTTCCTAGACCGTCTTTAAGGCCAAATCAGTTGCACTGCTAGTCCTGGGTTGTCATAAGCACAGATGACCAGCTGCCAGGATTTGTGCTTCCTCCAAGCACATTTTGGGGTTTGCTAATTTGTCTCTGCTTAGTAGTTACTTTGAATTCATAAGTCTTTCCAGCAGTTGAGACATCACTTACCTACTTCACACATGTAAAAGCACTCACCCCTCAGTCTGTGCTACAAAATTCAGCAGTGTATTGACCATTAATAAAAAAAATAAAGCTTTTGAGTTATCAAAATAAAGTGTGTCCATTCAGACAGCCCTTAAACCTTAATCACATTCCAGCTAGACAGAATGAAAGATAGTAATAAAAACTGAAAGCCTGGAGGAGAACTCAGTATCTCAGAACATCCTATGGGTGGCTCCCACTGCCAGAGGGAGAGGACAAACTCCAGAAATCAGCAACCTGCGCCAAGAACAGTAACATTTTGTTACATAACAGCAAGTAACATTTTGTTTAAAACTGAGAGCTGAAGTTTGCAAAAGGACTGCAGCTGCTGTAAATGTCACTTGTGCATGAAAGACAGAGGTAGCCACTTAAGATATCAGTACTCAAAACATTTGAGGATTTATAGATCAGATGTGGCTAAAAGAGGAGATGCAGCCTGGCAGGCAGTGAAGATCATGCAGTCCAGGTGGCACATACTTTCTGCTTGAGAAATTCCTTTTCCTAAGCAGGCAGCTATGCCCTATTCCAGCTGTAACCTCCAAACAGATTTCAGATGCAATACATTCTGCAAGCCTCAGGTTAAGAAAGAGGGTGATGACTGTAATGAAACCTAAAATAAATTGTCCCAGGCAATAATAAATATTCATCAAAGGCATTTGTGTCATCTTTGCTTGTGTGTGTATCCAGAAAATGATAGAGATATAACAAAACCTGAGGAGCAAACATCAATTGTCCCTAATTCAGACAAGCTCAAACATCTCATACAGTTTCTTCTGCTTACTTTTTCCCTTCCATAATCATTGTTTGACATTTGTCTGAGCCAGGAAACCTGGAAGTCAGCCCCCATTTGTGTCCCAAAATACTACAGATGTTGGATAACTCCTTCAGTTGCACCGAAGGAGAATTAGATAGACAGTCACTGACCCAACACCTCCCATGCCCATAGTCCCATACATGAGCAGAGATGTGGGGTTGGTGTCTGCCTGTGGAGGAATGACTGCCAGACAATGGCTTACTGAGAATGCAGAGAAAGGAGGTGTATAACTGTGGTGCCTGATAGGATGTGCTTGACTAAAATCTACTAGCAACATAAACTTTTCTTTTGCCTTATGCAGGAGATGTTGCTTTTGAAGATCAGCTGGATCATCCTCTTAATGGGCTTTACTCCCTCCATCCCCATGAGAAATACCTTCTTGTTGCAGACCTATAGGTCAAATTCCATTTACAAATCCCAAGACAATTCTTCAGACTCAGGGTTTACTTCTCCCTCTCATCTCTAACACTAGGTCTGGTCAGAGATGGATCACCAGATGTCTAATTTAGATGGGCTTCACTGCAAAATTTATAGCCCAGTTTCTTCCTATTTTGCTCCTTTATTTGACTGAAAGTTGGATTAAAACTGAGGTACAATGTGATAAACATTGAGAATTGACAAACCTTTCCTGGGGGATCGGGTCAAGAGTAGCTCAGTCTGACGTGTGCCTGTTCCTGTCTTTGTGGCAGGACAGCTGGACTCCAGACACCAACATGACTGAGCGCTTTGATTGCCACTACTGCAAAGAGTCTCTGTTTGGTAAGAAGTACATCCTGAAGGAGGACAGCCCCTACTGTGTGAAATGTTATGAAAATCTTTATTCCAACACCTGTGAGGAATGCAAAAAACCTATTGGCGCTGACTGCAAGGTAAGTCAGATTTGTGTCTTCTTACAGAAATCTCGACAGAGCAGCCTGGATACAGATCTCTGAGATCTGGAAGGATCCAGCCTAAGAGCTACACAGGGGTTTCTTTTGATGGGAGAACACGTTCTCTGGACTGTTGTATCTGTTTTGTATTGTTTACCTTCTTTACCTTGTATGGTAATAGAAATGCTCTCCTGTAAAGCACTGAGTGATCTGATGCTCTGATAAAAGAAATTCTCTTTAATTCATTGGCAGAGCCTTTCCTCAGGGCCAGATGGGATCTGAAAGGGAGACAGAAGCTGGTTGTGCCTAACTTTTGGGTCAGAGGGAGCTAAGCCACCGCTGGCTTTGCAGTGACCACACTTCTGTGGTCATCAAGAGACAAGAGACATTGAAGCCAAGGTGCTAACTTGGACGTCACAGAAATCTAGCTAGTGCTGACCTGAGCAATAATTCAAGTGGAGTTATAAAAACTAGAATTTTGATTACAGAATGATAGTAGTGGAGTCCAGTTAAAGAATGGGATGGACAGAACAGAGGCCTTGCTTGCTTGAGTTATGCACTGCTACAACACATAGAAACACCTGCCTGGTACAGATTAGTTGTGACCACCTGTGTTTCTTTTAAATTAATTAAAACCATTGGAGCACATGCCAGTTTCATCCTGCCTGAATGGGGACAGAGGAGCCATCCAGTGAAGTGTTTGTTATACAGCTACTAACAGATTTCATCCTCTTGCATAAAATTGACCTGTTCAAAGCTGGGCAAGATTTTCACTGACAGAGTGAGGTTGCAGTAGAACTGCAATTTGCATTGCGTGGTCACAAGATTCTTCACTGACCCAAGGATATCTGATTTTTGATTTCCCACTGCTGATCTGTACCTCTAGAAATACAAACTAATTCCCATTAGTGATACTATCACTCAATCACTACTTCAGAGATATAAAAATATATGCTTACTCAGATTGGAAAAAATAAATGTCTCATACCTTCCAAAATGATCTACAGCACCCTATTGGCAAATCAGTAGGAAAGTCCCTTTCAGAAGCCTTAAAAAGGTAAATATGTTTCACAGCCATGTCAGGGAACTGGCAATAATCTGTAAGAAGGTATAAAATTACCAGCTTTCCTACAGCTCATAAATATTCAGGTTAGAGATGAGATACAGCTGGCCTGGCCTGACCTGAAAAAAGCAAAATATTCCTGCCTCATTCCAGAATTTGCTTTTGTTTTAAGGACTCTTTCTAATCCCCTGAGAAGATATTTCCATGTGCTGATAGTCAAGAATTTAAAAACTTGGACCAGCTTCAACAAATCTCAGTCAAAGTATTCAGGAATTAATCGGGCTGAACTTTTCAACCCAGTTTTATGTATTTAGGGAGTGTGTGGGTGTTATCCGATATACTGCTTTACTTTTAAGTGAAACACACTCTAATATCAGATAGGAAAAAAAAAGCTCCAACTCTCTGCAATCTAAGAATATTTTATCTATGTAAAGAACCAAAACTATATGTGGAAAACACAACTAAGAGGCAGTAAATAAAGATTTCTTAAAGAGCTATAAATTGTGCCAAAACTAAATGTGTCCTTTTTTGTTTCTGTGCTGTTTGTGCCTGTCCATGCTTCATGCTGTAGCTTTGGAAGCTGTTGAACAATTTGAAGCAAATTCTGACAGATGGATAAAAGTTGAAAGTTAAATTCCTGTAAGTTTACTGGAAAAATCCCATGTTTGAGTAGAAAAAGAGATCCTATGAATGTTCTCACTGAGAAGAAAACTAGAGTAGTTTTTCAATGACTGTAACAGACACTATAGAACACATTTGAGAGAGCCCTTACAAGTGCCTCAGCCACAAGATAAGTTTCAGATGAAGTGTGTGCACTGTATGACTGAGAATAATTCAGCCATGAAACAATCACCAAAAAAAACAGGCTTCTCCTCATCAAACTGTATGAATACATAGGTATATAAACACATAAGAAATACATGCACACACACATATATGTATGCGTTTTTACATAAATCTTTTTACACATTGCATTTACTTTTTCACCTGAACAAAGAAAAGAAATTGTACTATGTTTGGGAATTAAACCAGTGTGTTTACTGCACATACAAAGTGGACTCAAATGTGTTTGTTTGCTCAACATAACCTAAAAATGTAAAATTTGGAATAAAAAACCTAATGGAGTGACAGTGTCATGAGAAAAGGCCATTATCCAGGCCTTTGCATCTGGCAGTGGCATCTACACTTACATCCACATTACAACCTGGAAAGTCCCTTCTTGGCCACCATTATCTACACAGAGAAAAGCTGCATTCAGAACCAGATGCTCTTAATTTCCTTCTTTCCCACCCTCCCAATTACAATCAAACCTCCTGTAGCTGACAGGGTGACAGCAAAGTGAAACCACAGGTGCTGAGGGCACCTGTAACACTCGAATTCTGACAGCACTGGATTCTGAGAGGGTGACACTGATGCTGGATTTTCACATTGTGTTTTAGCTATAGCACAGAGAGCCTGCAAGACAGCAATGCTGTAGAGAAACTTACCTTGAATTCAAGTCAGGGGAGAATTTTCTTCACTATCTTTCTAGTTTTTAAGGTAGTTTATGGGTAACTGTGAACATAACTGAGTAATAACTAATTTGTTCTTTATTTTAAAAGAACAAGTCTTTCCCCACCAAAAAAATCCCTGAATGACACCTTTGGGCATAGGCCATTTCATTAACTGTCTACAGTTCTAGCTGATGCTTACAAAACTTTCACAGACAAAAGCTTCATATACTGAGTGGTAGGAGGCACCAGCAGGCAGTATGAAAACATGATGCCATTTCTCTCACACCTATTACACATTATCAATATACCAACAAGATATAGGAGAAATTTACTGTTTCTAGAAAAAAATCGGCATTTTGGCTAAGTCCCTGGTGAATGCTCACCATACCTACAGTTTCATACTTATTTCTGGAAATCCTTACATCTTGTACCCATTTGTTTAACCACTCAAGGGTTACTTTTAATCCTGTGTTTAATGCAGTCCACAATTTTGCCTTGGCAGGCAGAAGGCAGTGAAAACTGTCTCTGTGAAATGTGAAAATTAAATTATGAGTGGATTGTGAGATACAGCTACTGTGTCAGCACACAGGCAAAAAATGGCTCAAAAGGGTCATTCTAACACATAAACCAAACAAAAAAAAAATAAAAGTAAAACCTTCAGTAATGAGGATCAGAAAAGGAAAAATATAATTATTTTTCTAATTTTTAATATTTAAGTCCTGCCTCAACATGCAACACTTTTTTTGGCTCATTACTGAATCTCAGGCTAGTTGTTGTAAAGTGAAATGGTAAAAGAAGTGGATACCTTAATATCTTCTCATACATGTAAGCGGCTGAGTACAGCACAATATCACTTGTTTCTACTTTTTCTCAACATACTTTTATAGGTATGTGCCAGCCTAACATACTTAAGTGTTTTGCTACAGGGTATGTGCAGCTAAAATCTGCACGGCATCTAGTTGGAGTAGCCCATTTCCTACATTCAACCTTCTGAAAAGACCATTGTGGCAGGCAAAAAAGCCATGAACAACATATACAGTTACTGTTCTGGTAATAAGCTCTCAAATCTTCTTCCTACCGGGTGCCTGTTGAAACCCCGTTGAAGAGATATGGTAGTGCATAATGGCTTCAGTTTGCTTAGACTTCAAAAGCCTGAGGAGAAGACAATATAAATGCAGGGTATGAGGAGCCCAAGTTTAACCCAGGTAACTGGTAACCCCAGTCTAAGGGGTCTTCTGGGTTTTTTTAAAGACACACACTTTTCTAAGTCACATGCAGTCCTGCCCTAGAGGCCAAATAAACCATGCTGGAGCAAAACAATACAGAGCTATGGAGAAGCTGTAAAAGTTGTTCTCGCCAATGTTAACAGTTATCTTGCTGAAGATTCCTTTGTGGGTGTCATAACGAAAATAAGTAAAAATACAACAGGAATTAGTTGTATATCACTTGTACCTTCTGCTGTGATGGATTTATTTGGGTCACAATCAGCTAGCATAAACTAGAGCTCACATGCCTAGACTAAACCTGATGTTCTTTCAGCTTAACAGAGGAGCAGCCTGACATTAAGAAAGCTTTAACTCAGTTTTTACACATGCTTTTCCAGTGTAGAATTTGCTCCAGATCAATATATCTGCAGCTTATAGACAAGCTAAAGTCTCCAGTAATACTTACAACATGCTGAAATAGACCAAACCTCCTTTTTAGTGACATAAGAGGCATAAATGGTTTTGTCAGTACCTTGGACTTCCTTGCTTTCCGATGTGACAGATTCAGAGAGAGAAAGCAATATCCATTTCATCAGTCTAATATTCTACTGACAAAGACAAACATCTTGGACTCTCTCTACATTCAATGACAATAGTTATAGTAATCCAGAGTAGCTAAAGATTATTCAATCCACTTTTTATCTTGGGTACTTTTTGTTGTAGCTTTGCTTCATGACTTCATCATGATGAAATACCTGCTGTTGTCACCTACCCAGCTAATGCCTATAAAATCTTGCCATCATCACTGATTCAGGGATCAAATCTTTCATCATTGACACCTAATCTTTGTCTTCATTACTCCTCTTCTAAAAGACATGCACTTTCTTCAGGGTATAATTTCATTGATAAAATAAGAATACATCAGCACATGAATTTTGAATATTAGAAAATAGCTTGCTGAAAATTGCAAAACTAGGAAATGACAGCTAGTGAGGAAAAATAATTGAATACGTCATGTTACAAGAGAAAGAAAATCAGATCTGTTGTTCTACTTCCTAAAAGGCAAATTTCAGTTCTTTTTGAAAGCAGTGTATATTGTGTTTTTTCTGTTGAAAATATATGAGACCGGATTTAGGGTATTTGACCTCACCTAAAGAGAGGTCTTCCTAAAGGGAAGAAAAAAACCAGAAGTAACTTTCAAACAAGATTGGTTTGAATTTGAAATCTCAGAGATGAAAGACACATTGGGTATCAATTGTTACTCACAATGATTCAAAAAATTTAGGTGAGTACCACAGATGTCCAAACAGAAATGCTTATTTGCATGGTCAAATTCTGACAGAATTTGAAAGAAGTTTAACAAGCTACCACATATCAGCTAAGCTGAATGAAACTATTTCAGTGTTTCCTGCTAGCTGTTTATGAGAACAAGGCTCCCAAAGACACAATATTGTTTTAGGTTAAGCTAAATCTGTGGTATCTTTTGTTTGTTCCGGGCTGAGATTGCACATTTGAAGTTACCTGTGACTGCTCTGACTGACATCGTACAGTTTATGCCAGATCAGGTACAAACCCTTTGTGATGCTTCACACAAGTGAAAAATTGGAATTCATTATTCTACCACTCACTCTTTTCCTTCAGTTAACCCGATTAGTTTAGTGCCTGCAATAAATACACAGTAGATCTTGAGCTAGAACCTGAGAACTTATTTTGGCTGAATTTTTATACTCCCTATTCATGACAATTGTAGCCTTTCACACTCCCAACCTAAACCAGAGCCTCTGTATTTTGGGGTAGACACTGTTTCTTGTAATCATCCAAGCTCTAGTTTGAATCTAAAGACATAGTTCAAGTGTTACACGAACAGGCCACCTTAATTTAAATGCTAAAAAGCACAATCCACCCTTTTAGGTCCCAATTTTGAGAAGGACTGTTTCTTTTAAATAATAAAAGGAACGAGTGTGGGGAGAATTTTAAATACTAACACACCCACACTAATCCCTTGGCCAGAACTCTGGATCACTTGATGCAGGTACAATGTGATCTTATACCTTTCAGTACAATCCACATCTGAAATATAGGTAAAGCAAAACACAAGCGAAACACAGTAAAAATTTATTGTAGTGAAAAAAACCCAGAGATCAGCCTCATTCCATCCTTGGTGTAAATCTGTCAAAAAAATACCAGAATGCAATTGGGAAAAAATATTTCTGTTCAGGAGTAAATATGAAATGAACTAGAAATCGGCAATAGTTAAGGCAAATAGGGGAAATCTATCATTCCTATCAGGCTAACAAGTTTTAATCCAACTCAAAAGCGGGGCTTTATTCTCAAAGGAAATACCTAAGTGAAATTAGCTGTTCCTCTGTCACATACAAAAAGGGTTACCTTGAATTGAAAAAGGGTTGATAGTTGTCATGAGCTGCTCTTGGTTATCACAGCAAAATAAGTTCACCTTCACCAGAACATTTTGTTTTCTTCAAATTAGCCCCAGCTCCTGGCTGGAGTTCAGATTTGGATGTGTTTGCATTCTCTGAGCTTCTGGTTGTGCAAACTATTCATTCCACTTACTCTCTGGTTTTGGATTTCCACAGGATCTGTCTTACAAGGACCGCCACTGGCATGAAACCTGCTTCCAGTGCTTCCAGTGCAAGAATTCATTGGTGGACAAACCTTTTGCTGCAAAAGAGGAACATCTACTTTGCACTGACTGCTACTCCAATGAATACTCTTCCAAATGTAATGAGTGCAAGAAGACTATTATGCCAGGTTAGGATGCTCATTTATTTGGACTAAATATCAGCCCCAAACTCAGCAACATTTGTGAGAAATGTTTCTCCTTGACTATTTCTACTAAGTCATGCTGAACTGTGTAAAAAATTGGTGAGGTGAGGGTGCATTCTAGGCCACTTCCACGACCAGAACATGTCATGTTCTTAATGGCTCATGGAAGAACTTCCATTCACATGAAACTTTTTGTCTAATTACTCTAAATTTAGTTTCTCTCAAACAGATGAAGTACTGGTCAAAGTGCCTCTGAGGTCTTTCTTGAGAACAAAGATAAGAAGCAGGAAAGAGCTATTTTCTTTCTCAACATGAAACATGAGGTTACAGTAAGAGATTGATAAAACCTGGTCTTCTCACATCAATACTATAGTATTCTGTGATGATTTGAGGGCTTTAAAGTTGAAGTGCTATCACTGCAGAAATAAAATGTTAAATGGCAGTTTGAAGAATCCTTGTACACACTCTGTAATGATTAGTAGTTACTTTGTCAGCTCGTTCTGACATTAGTCATCTCAGATAAAAGGCGAAAACCACAATATTTTGCTCCTGGGGTGCAAAAATGAAGGATTGATGATGAAATAAGACAACAATATTTAAAAGCAGATGACCCTATCTATCTATGACTGGGTTTAGGCATCTCCTATTATTCCATATGCACCCATTTTGCTGACACAGCAATAAAAACTGACATGCTTGGGAATAGCCAGTGCTAGTTTTAAAGCTGGAACTACATGACACAGACAGTCCACTCATATCTCAGAAAGCCAGCTGTATCCTGGACTGCATCCAAAACAGTGTGGGCAGCAGGTCAAAGGAGGTGGTTCTGCCCCATAACTTTGCTCTTGAGAGATCCCACATGGAGTGCTGCATTCAGCTCTGGGGACCCCAGCACAAGAAAAACATGGAACTGTTGGAGGGCTACAACGAAGAGGGCTGGAGCACTTCACTTATAAAGACAAGTCAAGAGAGTTAGGATTGTTCAGCCAGAAGAAAAGGCTCTGGGGAAACCCAATTGCAGCCTTTCAGTACTGAAAGGGGACCTTTAACAAAGATGGGGACAAACTTTTCAGCAGGGCCTGTGGCAGTGTAGAACAAAGTGTAGCAGTTTTAAAGTAAAAGAGGGTTGACTTATATTAGATATAAGGAATAAGTTTTCTATAATGAGGGGGTAAGGTAGAACACTGGAACAGGTTTCCCAGAGAGGTGGTGGATTTCCCATGCCTGGAAAAATTCAAGGTCAGTTTGGATGGGCTTCTGAGCAACCTCATCAAGTGGAAGATGCCCCTGTTTACTGTGAGGACTTGGACTAGATGATCTTTAAAGGTTCTTTTCAACCAAAACTATTCTACAAGTCTATGATTCTATAATTTTATGTGCATATATATTCTTAGAACTGTTCATTGGATTCATCGCCATTGTCAGTGATTTACTGAAAGGATCTCTTTTTTGCCTATGGCAGCTATACATTGATCTATAGTAATGGAGGCTGGATTCAGTGACACAGAATCCCTTCTTCCCTTATAACCCAAAAGAGAAGAAATTAATTTTTGTAAGCTTTACAACTACCCACTGGTCTCTAGCTGCTTACCCAAGATAGCAGAGATGCCAACACATTGGAAGAGCAGTACACTCAGCATGGTTTTACTACTCAGCACACTGTGGTAGTACAGGAGCTACAGCAGAGGAGTATGGTCACCAGTGGAAGCATAATTCATTTTGAAAGAACCAGCAAGTGGTTGGATACCCTTTATGGAGACTGTTAATGCTAAACTTGACCTTTGCTTTGAGCCACTAAATGTAAAACGTTGATTTAATGAAGCTTTATCATGATGTGCCCATATAGGTGATTACAAGCTTGGTCTTTCAGTCCTTCTGCAAACTCAAGTCATGCTGGCTTCAGTCTAGTAGCTAACAAAACAGGGCTCTCCCTGCTTTGACAGTGACAACAGCATCCCAAAGAGCAGAGCTGAAAATGTGAAAATAAAATTCTAGACTATTAAAAAAATTATCCACATCTCATTTTTCCAGAATATTATTATTTCAAGGACTGATTTGTTTTCTCCTTGACATGATTTAGGAAGTTACCAGCACAGAGAAGGCAAAATTTGTAGAATGGAGCAGATTCAAGTATTCAAGAATGTAAGCAACAGAAAGAAAGATAATTAATATTTCACTTACTAATGATTCAAGTCAATTTAAAAAAAAAAATAAACCACCAAATAAATCCTGAAGTATGCCTCTCAGCAGAATTTAATGAGATCATAAAAGAAGAAAAACATGCAACTAGTAAACAAAGATGAACTGCTTGAGAAGGGGAAGAATGGTGAAACTTCACCCTGCAGTAATAGGGGTGGGCAGAATTGGCATCAAAGGCATTAGTGTGGCTCTTCATCATTAGCCAACTCGATCAGCTTGTCAGTCTTCCAAGTATTTGACTTCATGTTTGCTGTTACAGGCTCCAAGAGTGATGCAGAACTGTAGGAACAACATTTGTTTGTTTATCCTTCTGGCCAGTATCAAATATTCTGACTCAAACTGGTACATAGTATGGTACATAGGAAACCATACCTTGTGCAAAGAAATTTATCCATATAACAGTTCATCTCCAATTTCCTGGAATGGCTCAGAGTCCACCTGCCATACTGTGGACTGAATCTGCAAAGAACACTCTCTGAACCCTAGAACTTTGTTCTAGAGGAGTGCATTTATTTCCTAACTACCATACCACTTTTCTGCTTTTCAATAAAGGATTGTTTAAATTCCACATTTCAACCATATTTTCAATTCAGCTGAAAACAGAGAGAAAGCTTCTTTCTTACTGAAAGGTTGAAAATCATTTAGGATAGGTGTTGCTGAGCTGGAAACCATTGCAATGCAATGTTCTCAATGAGAACAAGAGAAAAAGCCCCTGAGCAGATAGGAAATAATCCATTGTCTCAAGATAGTGACTATATTTTATTGGAAAAGGAGGCAAGATGTTTGCCAAGAATGGCATGCCCCATCTCTGTCAGTGTTCAAAGCCAGGTTGGATCAGGCTCTGAGAATCTGGTCTCATGAAAGGTGTCCCTGTCTATGGAAGAGACTTTAAAACTAGATGATCTTTAAGGTGTCTTCCAGCCCAATTTATTCCTTGAGTCTGTACTAAACCAGGTACCTTGCTGCTATTTGAAAAAGAAACAAAACATTCCACAAAACAGTGGAATGAATGAGGTTAATCTTTAATGAGGAATGGCCTTACCTCCACTCAGCACTAACAGCAGCTTACAGTGGTTTCTGTCCCATTCACTTAAATCTTCCTGTGCATTGGAATTCATTATTTGCCTAATAATGACACAAAAAGCTGTTTTAGGCTATAGCTATTTGAAATAAACGTTTATCTTCTTTGCAGGAGAAGAACCACTTGCTCTCCAAAAACCTAAAATGGTACCAAATGTCATGCAAAGCTGGTAGGAACATGAAATAACCTCTAGCTCATAGCTGCAATTCTTCTTGACTGGCAGTCAGCTACCCAGCAATCAAGAGTTATGAACTGAATCTATCTCACCCAGAAGTTCAGCTGATGCTTCTCATTACAGGTACTCGGAAGATGGAATACAAGGGCAACAGCTGGCACGAGACCTGCTTTATCTGCTACCGCTGCCAGCAGCCTATTGGGACAAAGAGCTTCATCCCTAAGGACAATCAAAACTTTTGTGTACCCTGCTATGAAAAGCAGTTTGCCATGCAATGCGTCCACTGCAAGAAGGTAGAGCTCTTATTTTGCTTACGGGAAACCTAAGGGATTGAAGTCCATCCCATTTTATATCCAAGTAGGCAGAATATCTCATTTTGGTATGCCTAAAAAGATTAAGTCTTAACTGGTTTTAAGAGATGATATAATTTCAGTTCCACTTGTAAGAGAAAACTTCACTGACATAGTCTGGAGAAGCAGAAAGTAAATACTTCATCTGAAATACTAAATAAACTAGTGTTTCCCAAAGAAAGTAACAGGGAAGTTGAAGCACATCAGGTAATTCCTTCACCATGAAGAAAGGAACAGGTGAAGGAACAGCAATGAGACAAACTCTAGTATGTGCATACAAAAAGCAACATACAAAGAGTAGCTTGAAAAACAGAGTACAATTGAGAGTGAGATTTTACAATATGTGCAGAATAAAGTACTTTTAGCATGGGGCTTCTTTTTATAAATAAGGAAATTACAATAAACCACTTACATTATTTTCTCAAGGTCAACTCCAGGCAAAATTATAATCTTCCTGTTGCTAAGCCTTCTTCTCCTCCTCCCACCCACTGAAATCTCATCACCCTTTCTCTTTACCAAATCATAATACAAACCTGCCTCTCTTAAGAAAACACTTTTTTGTCTTTTTTTTTCCTGAAACAGGCTATCACCACAGGAGGTGTGACCTACCGGGAGCAGCCATGGCATAAGGAGTGCTTTGTGTGTACTGCATGCAAGAAGCAGTTGTCTGGACAGCGCTTTACCTCCAGGGATGAGTTTGCATACTGCTTGAGCTGCTTCTGCAACCTCTACTCCAAAAAGTGTGCTGGATGCACAAACCCAATCAGTGGTAGGTCTCTCATGGCTGGTACCTTTGCATTTTGTGGAAGTTTTATGTATTGAGTTGCTACTAAAGGCAAAACTAAACAAAAAGTCTGACCTATTACAAGAGATGCCCAACTAAACTTTTTCATGGAACTCCAGCTACTCCAGCTCCTCATTTTTGAGGTTAAGCAAAGACAATTACTACTAAGAGGCATTTCTCCCTCTTTTTTTTTCTTTCATTTGTACAACTTCAATATACCTGATGATGACTACCATATCCTCAAACTCTGGAATGCTTTTTTTACTAAACTGCTTCTTTTCCTGAGGAATTCTTCCTTCAGAACTCTGAATCAAGTCATGACACATGACAGACTTATTTTTTAATTATCTAAATGCACCTCTACAAAACATAAATTATGCTCAGGCACCATAAAACATTCTGTAAAAAACTACCAGAATTCTGTTCAGAGGCAGGTGCTTTGCTTTTCTTCTGCTGCGTGTTGCAGGGCCATCCCTTGGAAGTTCATTTCTGCTATTATCACCAGGGATAAGAGCCTTGCTCATTAACTTTGCTGAAAGTAACAGAAGTATTTGAAAATCTTAGTCACTACAGAATAAGGGTGGCAAAATTAGCACAGCAACAAACAGATTTGTCACAATGGCATTTTGTCACTGCTGTATGTCGGATGTCCATGTCAGTCTGCATGACCTGATGGCTGACCTGCTATTCTCTTCTTGTAACAGAACGATTTTGCTTTTCAAACAGGACTTGGAGGAACCAAGTACATCTCTTTTGAAGAACGGCAGTGGCATAATGATTGCTTTAACTGTAAGAAGTGCTCCCTTTCACTGGTGGGTCGTGGCTTCCTCACAGAAAGGGATGACATCCTTTGCCCTGAATGTGGAAAGGATATTTAAAGCTCAAACTAAGAGGTGAGGAAGAAGGGAGGAAAGCTGTGCTCACAATATATAGTCTGAAACACATGGATGTTCAGTTAGTTTTGCCACTCTGTGTCTCACTGTATATTAACATTTCTTAACATTTTTCTTTATACTCTCCAAATCTGGAGGGAAAACAACTTGAAAACCTCTAATAGCAGTGTCGGTGTTTAAGATTTCTACCAATAGCAAAAACTAATGCAAAATTCATGATGTAAAACTACTTGGCTGTTTTTGACATAACATACTATTTTTAAGGTTTTTGGTTTTATTTTTCCTAACAAATATTCCCGTTACAAGCAAGTGATACAGTTCAAGGATTACAATGGCCACACACAATACATTCATAGGTGGATATTTAGGGTGAAGCCTTCAGCCCACTGAAATCAATGGAAAAGGCCATTCAAAAGGCCTTTCATAAGGCTGGTGTAACCCCAGTGTTCTTGAGCTATGTGACTAGTGTGTGCTGTCAAGTCTGTAGAAAGACTGCAAAAGTAGAGTGTGTTTCAATGTACATGGATTTGTGACACGCCACAAAGAGATAATGATGAAACAGTGGGAGTGCTTCATGACAGATACACATTTTATTGCATGTCTAGCTGATCATTGTGTGAAGTACAAGTTCTGATTGACAGTGTCAGTATCACAGTTAGTTGACATTACACTGCACATTGTATTTTTCAAAATAAAATTATTTAAAACAAAACTTCAATTGTGGCTTAATTGTATTTATATAATATTTACAAAAATGTTTTCACATTCTGAAGAAACACAATGCATACAAACACAACCCTTTTTGCACCCAATTTTGTGGGGTGTGAAGTTCAGACAATTCTCAGAAGGGCCCTGCTGTACAACATAGTCTTTTACTAATTGAAGTCAGTGGGAAAACTATCAGCAAAAATGAACAAGTGTGTGAAAACACACTGAACTGACTGCAGCTGATAAAAATGTGTTCATAGGCTCTAAACTCAAGCCAAAATATTTTTCTTCTCAGCAAGCAAGCAAGGAGGTCAAGACAACTCAAAAGGCAGCTATCTATCTTCCCGAAAGTCAGAAGTTCAACTTCTAGTAGGGCATGCTTTAATTTTGTTCTCTATTGGGATACATAATACCTTTTGTTGTAGCATAATTTCTGCTACATGTTTGCCACAGCAGCAACTGTCAGCAACAGCATGCTAGCAGGACAGTAACATCAAAAGGAAACAATACAAAGGAAAAGAAACCTTTTCCCAACTGCAAGAAATATTGCCATTTTATGCAATGTACAATCCCAGTACACCTTCCAGATGGAATTCATTTGTGTTCAGAAGAAGGAGGAAAGAAATATGTCACACCTCCAACAGGAATCTTCGGATGTGAAATTAAGATTTAGAAATATACTTACTCTGTGTGCTACTAGGCAGGGAAAGTTTGCTCCTAGCTTCTGCCACCACTCTTGAGTTTGTCTCTTTGTACCAAGTGCAAAGCACTCACAGGTCATTCCCCTTCCATTAATTCAACAATTGAAATAGATGTATCTGATCAGATTTAGTTTATTGCACACTGTGAAGAACTTGGCTGGCTGACATTTTTGAAGTGCACACTGTGCTAATCAGAATTCAGTGAATGACTAAATTCCATCCCTTGGTGATTTCATTCTATGATGAAAGCTGTAACAAATATTCACAAAAATCGCTCTTTATCCATACCTCCAAAAGGAGGGCAAAGCCCTCTCTCCTCAGGGGTCTGCCAATCCCCCAGCACATTGCTGCTCTGCTCTAGTATTTTGCTGAGAGAAGAAAGATTCCTTTGAGCTAAAGGGGTAGTGCCCCTGTACTTGGCACTGATGACAAGCCACATCTTGAGACATGTGCTCAGTTTCAGGTGCCTCACTAAAATCAGGACAGAGGTGCTGGAGAGCATCCAGAGAATAACAATGGAGCTGGTGAACCAGCTGAAGCTGGGAGTTGCTTAGCCTGGAGAAAAGAAGGCTGAGGTGTACAACTGCCTGAAAGGAGATCATAGCAATGTGGGGCTTGGCCTCTTTCTCTCAGGCAGCTTGTGATAAGACAAGGGGAAACAGCCTCAGATTTTGATAAGGGAAGTTCAGGCCAGGTATTAGGAAAATTTTCTTGACTGGATGTGGTAAAACAGGCTCCCAGGGAATGGTGGAGTCACCCACCATCTTTGGAAGTATTCAAAAAACACGCAGACCTGGCGCTTTGTGATACAACTTAATGTGCACGTGGAATTCAGTTGAAGGTTGGACTTGATGATCTTGTATTTACCAACCCTGATGATTCTAAGGCAGTAGGAGCAGCACAGCTTGTACCTTGCCTCCCAAGTAGTACAGCAGATGGCAAAATGGCCCCAGCTTTGGGGGAAGGTAGGTGAAACATGACAAGGCTGGAAAGCATCCCAGCCTTTCCTCCTGGAAACAGGACTGCTACCATGCAAGAGCAGCATCATGCTATTATTCCAGTGCAATTCTGCATATCCCTCCTTGACACACACCAACACACACATGCTCCCATCAACTGGAAGTACACAAAATACATCCCTGACTCTAGACCACTGACAAGAAGCCAGCCAAAACCAAAATTACCATCAAACTGTTGCACAAGTGCAAAAAACAGCATTTCACATGATACTAACTGCTGCTACAGCTGCAAAGGAGCTACTGACCATTTTACCCTCTAAGTGCTGATCACTTCAAGTCCACTGAAATATAACTGTATAAAATGAACAGCTTAACTACCTCACAAAAACAAGGCAGCACTGTTTTGTTTGCTTTAAATTTATTTAAATAGGATAAGGCTACTTAAAAGACAAGTCTTTACATACAAAATGTACATTACATTAAAGTTTGCTGTACTCAAGTACAAAAACTGCACAAGTGTTTAGTAAAAGGGAAGGAGCACACCATTTCAAAACACACATTTTTACCATTTTACAGCATTCGAGAAGTGCCTTTTATATCATAACAGTGAATGGAGAACTTCTGTAAAGTAAAGAACTAAGCTAGTTTTTGGTTTCAATATAAACCAGTGTTAAAAATGTAAACAAGTTTTCAGATCACTACAGAGCTTCTTTTACTGGGTTAACTAAATGGATTAAGAAGCTGATTCTTTTTTTGTTTTACCAAGTCTGGGAGCATTGTTATTATTCCTATTTACCATCCATATCTAAAACTGATCTAAACTGGCTTCACTCTGAGCCAGTGAGTTTTAATAAAAATGTTTCCACCAACTTAATTGGATTTTTGCCCTGTGAGGCACTACTAATAATCCAGATGAAACACCAAATTTCACAGAAAATCAAAATCCATCTTAAATTATAAACAAAGGGAAAACAGGTTTGTGGTTTTTTTTCTGGAGCGCAATTACATGTGTTAATCTCTCAAGGTACTTCTGTCTTCCTATTTACGTCCCTCTCCAATTGTCTGTAAGCTGACAAAACACTGGTCTGCATTCCACTGGTTTTCCCCATATTTTATAAGCATGATTGTAACCAGGAAAACAATCAAATTTGCTACATTGGCAGATTTTTACACTTATGCATGTATAAAATATGCCTGTGTACTTAAGAGAACATGGCACTAATCCATTCACTACTTCCTCTCGAAGTTTCATGTCAAACAGTCTAGTCACAAATTTCCATCTGTGCATTCCTTGTTTCATATATCAAGAGAAACTTCAATTTGAAGTAATGCTGTTAAAATAGTTCATCTCTTATTACCAACCTAACTTGCACTGCAAATTCTACACTCCTGTGCAACAAAGAGGAAAAAAAAATTATCAGCAGAATGGCCAGTTTTCTCACCTAAATTAATTACCTTTTTAAAGCCAAGAAGGCTCTAGAGATCACTCTAAATTTCAATAGCTATTTTAACTATTTAACCAGATGTGGAATAAAACTGAATCTTAGTGAAACAATGTGTGAATCACAGTGACATGGAGGAGATGAACTATAATAATCTTGAAAACTAAGAGTGGGGGGGTTTAGTATAGTGTAATATCATTACCTTTCAAAGAAGTAATTAACTACTTTCAAGAGTGGATACTTTTAAGGTGACTGGTGATAGTGATTCCAGCTTTGCAATAGGGAGCTGTTAAACTTATTAAAACTTCACAGCAATCTGAATCTCTGTAAGTTTGTAAATCTTAAAACCATTTTATTTAAACAGTTTAAATATGACCTATCTGAAAATATGGAAGCAATATTTATGTTTCAAGCACCATTAGCTACTTCATGGCCATGTGACATGTTGGATTTTCTTCTTTGCTTCTGAAGGCTTTAGGTCATTCTGGAATACAAGAAAATATATAATTATATAACTTATAATTATATAAAAATATATAATTATTCTTAGAGATATTGTGCAAATAGGAGTCAGTCATTAATCTACATATTTCAATCTGGTACTATTACAGTATTCAGCTACAGGCTACTACAACAGCTTTCTATTGCCATCTTGTGGAGAAAGCTAAATATCACAGAACTTCTCTGATGAAAATAGAGCCTATGAATTTAACTACCTGCAAATCATACATGTGTTTTGGTTTTCAGCAACCTACAATTAAATATTCTTAAACATTCAAAAATTTCTTTCAGTTATGCAGCTTAGAAACGGGTACATATTGGAGTTTCAAAATATACTTCTGAAGTTATTTCAGGTTGTCTTCTTAAAATACTTGTTGAAGTATATGTTGAAATGGAACTGTGTAAGGAAAAATCCTCAAATACACAACTAGGAAACCAATTTGCTTTTGTCAAATAGTAAAAACATTAAAAAAAAGAAAAAGAAAATTTGGTCTTCCTTTGTAATGACCTGGATAAAAAGAAGAGAAATAATTGCCAAAGCCTCAGATGAATTCATCTTTCAAGTCCCTCTCCCCAAAGAAACCTGCAAAAATCAAGAAATCTCAAAGCAAAGCATGGCAGATGAAGTGGTGAAATAATTCCCTTTCACCATCTAAAATAATAATTAAAAAAACTGAGAAATTAGAGCTTTAATAGTTCACATAAACAGAGTAAAGACAGGTTTTCAAGGACATACTGCAACACACTACTTCGAGGAGCACAATCTAGAGGTCTCTCTTCTCTTTTAAAAGACTTTCAGTGTTCATTTACTTACAGGAATCCTGTGGACTACAACCACGGAAAGGTTTAAGGGAATTAGACCCAAAGATAACAGGGATAGTTCTGTGCTATTCATTACAGTTTTCTTTAAAGTCAAGGAACAATGACTTGCTTGGAGCCACAACTGTCTTTACTGTCACTACACTAAGAATAGATCAGGTTTACAACATCTGACAAGTACACTGATTCTTCCTGACAGCATCACTTACTATTCAATAGCACATTCTTTAACTTCAGATGGTAGACTAACATCCATAGAACACACCTGCCTAACTTCACATGTCTGACCAGCATCAACCAAGGCATGACTGAACTCACAGGTATTAACTGGAACAACCTAAACTGTTGCTAATGTGGAAAGTCAAATGTCAAAGGTCATAGTTTCTGAGTGCCAGTCATACAGTGGTGCTTAAAAAGCCATCATTGTGCCTACAGAACATTTAAATTAAATACAAAGAAGTTGTGAGGTATATGCTAAATAAGTTTCAAAAGCTCTGTAGGTTCAGATCTGACCAATAATACTTGGAAGAGTTTTAAATACTGAAAGAAGTTAGTAATACTGGTAGTAGGAAGCACACCTCT